ACACAGACAGGGTCGTCCCAATATGCGTTTTTGCAATTTGCATATAGGCAAAAACGCATAATAACACGTCTACTCAAAAAATAACTGTGAGATCCTATGTGAGTGATATTACAGTGATAATTCCACACGCCTGCGGCGGTTACACCAAGCCCTTGCAATTCTGAATTGCAACCTCTGTTTCTCTTATTGGTACTAACTAGTACATATCTGACATATCAAAGCAGCAAAAAAGAAACTAACTTGCTGCCCTCGATTTGGCCAGTTCGTAGAACGCAGAAATTCAGTGCCTGGAACATTTGGAAGTGTTTTCAGTCGCTTGCGCCACGATTTGTTACACGGTTCGACAAATTTTTCAAAAACATTTGAATGAAATACGTCGTTTGGTGCCCAGTTGCGGTCTTCTAATTCTACTCTTCTGGAATTATCAGATTAGCAGGCCATTCACAAACGTAAACTAAAACGGCAAGCTTACTTGGACCAGACGTACGTGGACCTTGATCTCTATTTCTCCGTGTCACCATGTGGTGGGAACATTCTCTTCGTCATTCTGAGTTTTGCCATTCAACAAATATGAAAAGGACACAAAAAGAATGTGAAAGTTACCTTAAATGATAAAGTAGACCTTTGTGTTTAGAAACAACAACAGTTGTGGAATTTTTGGACTCATAATTCAGAACGAAATGTAACTGCACTGCACGTACTTTTTCCGGCAAAAATACCACCTAAAGTAAACGTTGAAGAATAACTTAGTTCTTGCGTATGCCGTTTAATCAAGTTTTTACTAGCATAGACTGCAAAAGCGGTGGGGGTCGTCCCTTCTGTGGGACGAAAATTTCAGTCTAGCATCTTGAGAGCTTCCGTCGGAAGTTTTACACCATAACTTCCATTTACAACAGTGAAGCAGCTCCACTTTCTCAGAAATGTCATATCGCTCAGTGACTAATCATTGGTTGAAAAAGTGCAAGTGTGGAGTACTGTTATACCTTGCTACGTTCATCACGCTGGTAGACGTATTTTTGCACCGAAACATCGCTTAGAGCGTTAAAATTAAATTCTTCTGCATTAGTAATTTCATCCCATTGATTCTGAAATTCAAAATTCTTGAATTTGGCAATCAAAATAAAATCCTGGTGCTGCACTGCTAAATTTGAACTGCCTTGCCGCAAAAAAAAGACGCTTACTATTCGACGCTTAGCGGCTCTGCGTCTCACAAACAGGAGTATGAAACTAGATCTAGCTTTTTTCAAAATTTCGTATATCGCAATAAGTTTCGCAAAAAGTAGACAAAATTTCACACCCCCCTAACGCGATCATCTGAACTGTTAAATACTACGCTCTGTTATTCTCGGTTTTTGGTCTCCTGGCAAAGAATATCTCTTTTGGCCAAAGGTCAGCTGTATCATGGTATTATAATAGCTCCTAGCTTGCAAACGAAAGCTGTTTTGACTCTAGAATAATAGGGTCGTTCCTGACTCCGCAAGGGGTCAGCGGAGTCAGGAACCGACGTGAAAATAACTCTTCGGGATTATTTAATTTCGGTGCTGCATTTGCATATATTCTCCATGTATTTTTTTTCCTCGAAAAACTGCTGTTTTCCAGCCCTTTCTGTTTTTGATTGACGCTGCTTTTATTGGAAAAGTGTCGAGAGCGAGATTTTTCCCTTTCCGATTTTTTAATATTCCCGCGTGGCAGAAGTGTGAAAGGGAGAAAAAATTTCTGAACGAACATCGAAATGGGCTTCTTCCTTCCGGTTAGTTTGCACCTTTTTTTCCACTGACTTTTATTTCTAGAACAAAAAAAAGTAACCATTTGCTTTAAATGAATTATTATAAAATCTTATTAGGAGGTCATTCTTTTGAGACAGAATTTCTTTCAACTTGAAATGTCCTACTTGGTAATTAACAAAACGATTCAGAAACTGGAAAGCGGCAGCATTTTTATCTTCGGTGCTCAGCTCGTTCAGAAAGCTCAGTAGCGATGGTTGATGATGTGTGACAATGATTTCATCCAAATCAACTGCGAGCACATACTTCGTATGGCCACGACTCCGCAGCGCACAGTCATTTACGGCTGATATGACCTAAAAAGAACGCGTAATAATAATTTCTTCAGGAGGCGAAAAAAAAACGCCAGAATCGGACCATACTAAATTTTTCCAAGCATCTGGAAAAGTTGCGAACTGCATAGCTTTCTCAAACAATATGTTGCAACCGATCAAAGTATTAAACATGTATAATGAGAAAAACTGTTTGTTCTTTAAGGTTGAAGCGTTGTTCAGACAAGCGGTGTAACAGAATTTTTTCAAATGCCGAAAAAAAGCGATCTGCTTTTTGCCTGCCTGTGCATCTCCTGTTTCATATTTCTACCCAGCTCAAAGTTCTCTGATCTGTAGTTTAGTAATCACCTCCAGTCTCCATGTTCGAAGATTCGGATCGTCTTCGGATTTAGAATAGTAGTTGCCTTCTGTAGGGAAAGCAGACCATGGAACGCGCTCCACGTCGATAGTGCTGTCGTTTTCATAAACACGCAAAAGAGCGTCAACTTCGCTTGCAAGGGATTGAATGTATATATAGAATTTGGTAACACCTTGGACGATCCACATCTGAAGAAGTGCTACTGATGCGCTGCGTGTAAAACATTTGTCCATCGAGAAGATTCAGACATGATACCCCAAATTCCTTTTTCCATTATCACTATTTCACATATTTTATTATGCGTTTTTGCTGTGCAGCGGCAGCTCTATAGCGCTCCTACAGCCTACAAAAATGCATATGATCGAGAGGCTGTCTGTGTGTGTGTTCGGAAAGAGAGTGCATTTTGTCACCCACTTCCATCTCAGCAACCAGGAAAGCTGGGAGGCTGAAACTTTGGATA